TATACTTTCTGAAATGATTTAATATCATTTCAATTAAGTCTAATTCCAAAATTTTAAAAAATTAAATGAAAAATAGCAAAACTCATATTTAGGTAAGTTATTTCTAAAAGACTTTTTCTTAATTCTCTTTCACTGTTTACTTTAACACAATGTAATATCTAGCTTTAATTGACGCTGTTTCACTCCCTTGGGAAAGCCAGAGGAAAACCTACCCTCAGGAAGGTTCCCTTTTGCAAAAATGAAAGTAGGAAGTTATTAGCATATAATGCACTAATAAAATATAGCAGTAGTCTAATTCATGTATATCCCTTAGGATATGAGCAAAGAGGATGAATTTGATGTATAATCTTCCATTGTTTCTCTCATACCTTATGTTTACTCCAGGCAAAGTTGAGAGTGGGCCCTAATGATCTGGAGGAATTAACTGTCTCCTTATGTGCCTTATTTGCTACAAGGAATTGTATTAGATGCAATGAAGAAAGTAACTTTTTATATGAGATTATTACTGAAACAACAATGTAAAGCTATTGTGTTGCTTAATATTTAATATTTCCCCAGAGCTCATGCTCATTGCTGATATCTTTGTCCTGTTATTAATTTTCAAATGAAGAAACTGAAGCTAAGAGAAGTTAACTAATTTGAATGAGGTCATAGAAACTTGGACTTTATGACTTCCAATGTGCACCTTCTAGTTCCTTACATTTTAATGCAGTTGTGCCCAAAGAGGGACTGACTTACTTGCCCAGGTCAGATATACTTCCCTGGAGCTCTGGACACCCCCTCCTGCTTAGAAGCTAGAGGCTTCCACTAAGAGCCCTGTTCTGATGTCCCGAATTCTTGGCACCAGTACAACCCAACACAGTGATGTTTTCAGCTGTAGTACTTAAGATTTCATTGACCAGTCCACATGCTGGTGATATCACATATCACATATGGTGATAGATCCCATCCAGCTGAGTTGAGGGTTCAAAGGTGAAATTAATGGATCAGCTCATGAATTTGGGTTTTCCTCTGTGTGGTAGGCACTGGAATACCTGGGGGTTTCAAAAACAATACTGTTTTATGGACTTTTAGTCTGGTCATGATTCCACTTGGTTTCCCACCCTGGCATCTGCCTTTACACTTGGGTTCTCCACCTCATTATGAGTTGTATATCAGTGGGCACCAAGCTGTACAAAGCATAGTAGAATAACATCTTCAGCTTTGCATAGCTGAGAAAGTTCTTAAGATGGTTAAGTACTGTGTCTTCATTGTGTCTCTAAGAATACAAATATTTACAAACAGCATCTTTTTTTAGGTTTTTGTCTTCATGACTTTTGGTGAGATTCAGTCTTTCTGAAATCTCTGCTCTCAACAGTTGTGAAAACAGCATTAGCAACAGAGAAATTTTCTGGGCAAGTTCAGCAAGACTAGACCAGAGGCTTTCAAGCTATTGTTTGAAAGGGATGCCTCCAGTAGGAAGTAGTAGTCACAGCCGCCCTGCTATACACACACACACACACAGACACACACACACACACAGAGTACAGCTTTCCCCAGAGCAATTCTGCATTTGGCCAAAATAAAATTTGGATACTACTCCATGATGGCGGTTGAATGTCGAAGACTCCAGGCTTTAGTGCTGACTGCCTTTGAATTCTAGGCATTTACTTTATGGTCTCTAGGCAAGTTTAAAAAAAAAATTCCCTGGGCTTCAGTTTTTCCATATATAAAATGAGGATTATGACAGTACAATCCTCATAGGGTTGAAGTGAAGGTCAAATGAGATTATGCATAGAAAGTGCTTTGAACTGTATCTGGCACACAGAAAGCACTTAATGTTAGGTTACATTAACAACAATTATGATTATAACTATTACCATTTATGTAATGTTGGATTGAGATTTCAAAAAATTAAATACCACAGTATAAATATTGATTTCTTTGAAGCAGCAGTTATGAGAGAGAGAATTTTATTGCAGTGGGTAGGAAAGCTGCAAACTTTGACACTCTAATTTGATAAGTTGAGAAAGTGACTTGGCAGTGTTCTATCACAAATGGGAGTTTGTGGCTCTCCAAATCTCTGATCACTTACATTGATCTACCTTGATGTTTGCATATGATATATGATGTACAGTGTGAAAATATTCATCTTGGCAAACTGAGAAGCAAATGTACTCCTTTTTACACTTAACATAATTTAGTTTCTATCATTAGTAGTTTAATATCTATAGCGAGACAGCACTAATAGAGTAGAAACAAAATCTTAGGCATCATTATTCTAGTTGCCTTTTGGAAACTAGACTCATTAAACAATAAATAAAAAACTACAGATAGATATTCTAGTTGGAAAATTTAATTGGATTACTATATTCTAGCATATGGAAGCCTGATTCAGCATATACTGCAAATCTCTGGATGTCAGAAAATATATCTGCCTTTGTGTGACACTTCTGATCAGATAAGAGGACTCAGAGAGTCTTTGATTATTCTTATGATACATTTAATTTTTCCTTCCTTTTTATGGACAACTTTAACTTAATTTCAGAGTCCATTATTTTTTTTTTCACCCTTAGAAGCCAATTTAATGACTCAGTTTAAAAAATAATTCTTCCAAATCCCCGTTAATTATCACATACATTATCTTCCACTAGAGAAAACTTATAGAAAATAAAATGAAATCTGAAAGTAGTGATGTTAGGAAATGATCACA